TCACTTGACTCCTTTGGAGACATTGGGGTTCTCACCTGGCTTAGGGGATATTTAGAGAGTAAAAACTTTAAAATGACTTAAATATATATATTTATTGATGTCAAAGAGGAAGGGAAAAGGAGGGAAAGATAGAAACATCAATGATGACAGGGAGTCATTGATCGACTGCCTCCTGTGCACCTCCTACTAGGGGTTGAGCCTGCAGCCCGGGCATGTGCCCTGACTGGGAATTGAACTGGTGACCTCTGAGTTCTTGGGTCAGTGCTCAACCACTGGGCCACTCAGGCCTGGGGAAATGATTTTTAATTGCAACATTGAAGTCCTGCCCACAAGTCAGGGCAATCCATCCTGGAAGCTGGACTGTCCAGATGTGAGTAGAAGGCACTGGTTAACCTGGAAATCAGAAGAGCTCGCCACTGGCTCCGTGTGTCCTGGGCACGTGTGGGCACATCCCCTGGGCGCCCTCCTTGTCACTCATTAATGGGCACTGTGTCAGGCGATGTCCCCAGTGTCCTCCAGCCGTCACTGCCTGCGCTCAGACAGGTTCAGGTATCTCACTTTGTCCTGCACTCAGGGGCCCAGTTCTCATTTGTCTGGGACACATAGAAAGAATAATGTTGTATTTTTATCTCGGACCATATACAAAAATATATTCCATGTAGTTTAAGGGTTTAAATGTAAAAAGTAAACTAATGCTTTAATAAAAATAATAGAATACCTTCCTGGTCTCAAGGTAGGAAGGAAAGAACTTTTGAAATAAAACTGCCAGCCTGCCCGAGGTGGCTCAGTTGTTGAGCGTTGACCTATGAACCAGGAGGTCATGGTTCAATTCCCAGTCAGGGCACATTCCCGGGTTGCAGGCTCAGTCTCCATTGTGGGCATGCGGGAGGCAGCCGATCAATGATTCTCTCTCATCATTGATGTTTCCCTAGCTCTCTCCCCCTCTCCCTTCTTCTCTGAAATCAATAAAATATATTTTTTAAAAAAACTGAAAAACACTGCCAAAGCACAAACCATAATGGAAATGACTGATAGTTTTTACAGTATTAAAATGTGGAAGTTTAGTATAGTGAAGGTACTACAAGGAAATTTAAGAGCCACATATTGGAAGAAGATATTTGTAATCAATATAACTAGGAAAGAATCAGTACCTGGAATCGAAAAATAAATTCTACCAAAAAAAAAAAAGAAGAGAGAGGTAGAGAAAATGTGTGTAGTCAGTAAACATAAGGAGGCTGCTCTGTCTTTTTAGCCATCAGAATGCAAGTTAAAAGAAAGAAATCTTTTTTGTGTGCTCATGAGATTGGCAATACTTCAAAGCATCTGACTGCTTCACAATAGCCAAGAGGTGGAAGCAGCCCAGGAGTCCTTGTCGATGAATGAAAAACAAAACGCACTCACTACACACATGCAGTGGAATATTGTCTTTCCAGAGGAAGGGAATCCTGTCACATACTTCAGCACGGATGAGCCTTGGGGACATTAGCTGAATGGAATCAGCCAGTCCCAGAAAGACGGATAGTGCATGAGTCCATTGATGTGAGGTGTGCCTGTAGTAGTCAGGTTCATGGAGACGGAGAGGGGAGTGGTGGTTTCCCGGCTGTGGGGAGGGGAGGAGGGGAGTTGTTTCATGGGCCTGGAGTTTCAGTTTTGCAAGATGAAAAGTTCTGGAAACTGGTTGCACAACAATGTGACTATACATAACACTACTGACATGTGCCCTTAAAAATGTGGGAAATGGTTAAGACAGTTTTATGTGTAGTTTATCACAATTAAGAACGAAAAGAAAAACTAAAAGTATGACATCTTGGCGAGGGTGTGTTGAGGACGGTGACGCTCAGAACTTTGCCCACAGCTGGTAGATCCTACGCTGGTAGACAATGTGATACTGTCCAGAAGGTGTGAAAAAGTCCATGTCACGACATGGTATCGGGGCCGCTCTGCTGCTGAGGAAGACCCCTCAGGTGTGGGAGAGCAGACGGGTGCAACAGTATTCAGGCAGTATCATTCATAACAGCCCAAACCCCACAGAACCCTCCTCCCCCACAAAATAAATGAGACAATGTAAATGTTCATCAGACAGAAAAGGGAGACTGGTTTCATACGGTGAGATGCTGCCTGCGTCACTCCACTCAACCTCAGGGGCAACGTTAAGTAAAGGAAGGGCACACGATGCCCTTAGGGAAGCACAGATAACACTGTGCCCGCGTGGAGATGGTCGGCAGTGAGTTTGGGGGAGCGATTCCTTGTGGGGGGAGGAGAGGGCGATGGGATGAGCAGGGTGCACTGGGGGCTTTGGCAACACCAGTAATGTTGTATTTGAAAATCAATTTGACACAGACGACGAGATGTTGAGATTAGAGCTAAGTGGTGGGTACTTAGAACTTGGTTCCTTTATTAGCTGTGCCTTTCTGTGTGTGTGGAAGAGACTCATTGGTTGTTTTAAGAAAGGGCTTTAGCGGGTGGAGTGGTTTTCCCGGCTGTTTCTTGTGTGGGTCCTTCTGCAGCAGCAAACCATCCGTGCAGAGCGGTGGCGATCTTAACAGGCAGGGAACCTCTTACTGAGGAGTTTTGTATTTTGGTGTCTTTGTAATATTCCCTCCCTCCATCCCTCCCTCCCTCCATCCCTCCCTGAAAATCAATGGCTTCAGGTGATGATTAACAACAACTAAAGAAAATTACCAATGGATGCTAACATCATTGGTGAAAGACTGTTGGAGAACAGGG